CAAATTTCTGAATTATTTATCATGGATGTACAATGGAGACCGATCCCTCAGTGGTTACGAACTTTTCTTCAGCTGCTAAATGCTTTATTTTGATTAAGCCGTAAATGAATGTTTTCTGTGGTGCGTACTGCAGTGAAGTTAACACAGTGGCTGCAGTGTTAATAGCATTATTCTGCTTAGCAGCCTTTAAATTATAACTTGCGGTTTTAACATTTATAAAAATTTTTAGTTTTGCTCTCGATTGAAAACGCGCTGCTGCGGTACTCACGAAACTCAGACGAATACGCTAAGCATTTAGGCGATGAACTGCGGAGACTGGACTACAGAGTTGCGCTCAGCGGAGTAAGTAGTGATGAGTTAGACGCTGTACTTCGTTGTCGTTGTCATCAGATATTTTTCTTGTCTTCATCGTCCTCGTCATCATCATGAAAATGCTCATGGCTTTCGGATGATTGCGAAAATGACACAAATATCAAATGTGATTTTCTGTATAGATGGATTACGAAGCGTTACTGCGTTTCTTTTTAAGTGTTGACGATTCAAATTGCGCAGAGAATGCTCTTTTCGTTTCCTGATACGTACATTTAGTGTCGTCAAGATCTTTTGATCATTTTCCCATAAATCATCGCTTTTTCCATTCAGGGTTCAGTGTCTTGGTGAACAGATTCCAGCTCGTTTTGTTTGAAATCTTTACGGAAGGTGGTTCCCGGTCCTTCTGTCCATCACAGCAATTACTGTTATGAAATGTCACCAGTATCAGATCGAATTATCTTTACTCACCTCTAGGAAATGAAATGTTGGTTATACATACCTACTTATGCAGACGCATATTCAAAACGCTAATCCATATTCGATGAGAAAATTTTCCTCAGGGGTCCCACTTAATTTTTACCCATTGTATTGACACGACTGACGTTTGGGCGAAGGTTCGGTCCGTCTTAACAGTGCACGGATTGTAGCTCTGAAGACGGAGCAAATTTGGTCCGAAACTTAAGTTGTGCTAATATAATTTTTATAAGTAAGATGTTTGTGTTATTCGCCCTTTGTTACCTCGAAGAGATATATGTTCCGCATAAGTAAATTATGGCAAAGACAGCTTAAAGCACGGTTTATTTTTTAAGCAGTTTGGTGAATCAGTTGATTTACCAATGCCAACAGTTCGGCCCGTGTATCACGAGACTTCTTCAAGGTAAAGAGGTTGACTGTCTTCGAAAGTCCTTTTCGGCGTTCGGTCCGGTTGGTACGTTTGGTGTCAGAAGAAGAACTTTTGGTTCGTGTTGCTTTTAAGTAGTTTCGTGGCGACATGGGTGACGAGGCTTTTCCAATCAACGCAGAGTTCTTGTCGCTTTTCACTTGATATTGTCCCATGATTGCTTGATTATTTCGTTCTTGACGCGCCTGTTTAGCTGGTGTCTTTTTTTAATGATGCCGGTGCATTCTGACCACCGGGAACGTGTCCTTTTACAACCAGGGAGATTTTTTTTCCAATTGTTATGTGGCTTGGCTATTAAGCGAGGCTTTGTTTATTTCCTGAGTGTCTCATTACAGCGTGTCGTTTGCGTTTGTCCGCGATAATCCATCTTCTCCAGCTTGACAGATAGGTCTTTGTTCTTAGAGTGACAGTGTTCCTTCTTTATTCTGTGTAATATTTTCCTTAAATTCTAATTTATAAACGCTGCAAGTGAATTGCTATTCTGAGCGTTTCTTAATAAAGTACTATGTTTTTTGGAACTTTTGTATGCGACAAATCTTATTAAGTTTTAAGTAACCCTTGTAACTTTTGGCTAAAATTTTTATAAGGGAAATTGAGTACGATATATTATTTACAAGATTAATTGTGACATTGATGCTATGAGTTATTATAAAGTAACTGATTCTGCGATTTGTAATATTATTAACGAATTTAACTGGGTAGTTATTGTTATAACATATGGTTTATTTAATGTTTTAATTTTTATTTATGAAATTCGTTATTGCAGGACTTCAAGCCCGGTCTATTAAAGCTTTAACTTAATCTTTAGTCTTATAGCTATTGCCGATATTCGATTTAGTCTTATAGCTATTGCAGAGTTAATTATTAAACATCAAGGAAAGGTAGATTAAAATCATGTTCTCTTTCAATGGTTAACTTTATATTTTGAGGAAAGATGCCATCGAGAAGGTCTAGTACCTTATTTTAATTACCACTGGGGCAGACGGCGAAACATATTGTTGTCATATCTTTTAGATATCCTTGGAAACAGGTCCGGTTTCTTGCACATAGCCACATTTTTAGCAGGGATGATGGAAATGGGTATCTCAAGAGTCCCCGTTTGGTGTGTGAGGCACTCATCATCGGAGGAGAAATAGTTCGCTTCTGTCTTGTAAACATTTATAACGTTATTATAGAATTAGGTGAGTAATTAATACGTTATTGAATGGAGTTATCTGTCAGCCGTTTGCAGATTATTATAATAGTATGGCCAGCGGGAATATTAATAAACACGTCCTTAACATCGTAACTGACCATTATCCTCTGTTCAATCCTCACTTCCTCTGGAGTGGCTTAATCTGTATCATCATAATCTGGCATCCGATTGACCAAACTTTGTTTGCACTGTGTATAAATAAACCATCTTTACGTTGTTTTCAGCAAGTTCACTACCGCACAAGCGGCATGTTCAATCTCTAAACTCAGTTGGATAAAGAAATTATGCTGAATAAATGAATACGTAATTGTTTGATACAACTACCGATATCTTAATTTTTCCTATACATATTTTAAAGATTACCGTGCAGCAGATCTGGACTTTGGTCATCACCTTCGAAAATTTTTATTCTTGTAAGCTTCGTTGATATTATGCATTCTACTACTAAAATGATGCAAATTTGTAACTTCTCCGAAAAGTCCCACCGTCTGATGAAACGTTTACTAACGGATTTTAGATTAGTCACTTACTGGGTCTTTATATTTGATGTCGTTTTATTTGCAGACTAATGTTGACAGACCACCGACTGAATCAGAAGTCGAAGACCGAAGAAACGACTATTTGTCGCATTTCATTTTGCGACTCGTCTACTGCCAAACGTATCGACTGCTGAAGATTTATCTGTGTAAAATGAAGGCGTAATTTTGACTGTTAAGGAATGACCTTCGTCAGTGGTTTATCCGTCTGGAGACAGAGCTATTTCGGTGGCGCTTCAGTTTAGAGAATCGAACGAGCATCGAGCGTTTTTTGCAGCTTAGCGGTTTCGAGTTTATAACCGTAGTTTCAAAGATTCTTCGCTCACCGTTTTGTGGCTTTTACCTTCTGTCGTTTAAGGCTTCCGACGAAGAAAAAGAACAATTGTCCGATGAGCTGTTCAGCGGCAGCGAATGTTTCCAGGCGAAGGGGAATCGGAGAGCGAACGCTGACGAACAGCCAGTTACCGTCGCCAGAGTCATAAAAACTGACTTCTACAAAGTAAGGCCAACCATCTGAACTAAGTTTCTGAAGTATCAACCGTTAACCTTGGTGATGCTAGTTAAAAATGGACCGCTAAACAGGCGTGAGGTTAGAGACACGCCATATTTACGCGTTTGGAATTTGTCGCAGTAGGCGACACTACCCATAGCAGTAGCGTCTGGTCATCTAAAGTTGACGGTGGCCTGTGTCATTGATCGATTTCCTGCAGATTTGATCAGATACAGATGAACGTTAATGATGGAAATTGTAGCTGATTTTACATTCTCTTTCATTGCATATATTTTTAAATAGAAGAGGTAATGGAGATCTGGAAAATTAACTGCTACAACTTCTGTGATATCGCACTACTGTCACTTCAAATCCAGTTATGCCATATCATTCGGAAACGCTACGACAGTAAGGATGCTGTTGATTCGAAACTTCGCCAAGATTAGGTAACCAATTAGGTGACATAGTCCTGCTGTAGCAAAAGTTTCACTCTTAAAAGAGAAGTAATGGAATGCTAACAGTTCCAATGCCTTTTTTCCAGTAATATGCCATTTTCATCGACTTTACAGCTGCATTCGATTCGGTAGTTTCCTAGCGATGAGAAGAATCTAAATTCTTATGGAATACCTGAATCAACTTTTCCGTTTTAGACGAGCCGTTAGAAGCAACCATATATGTCGTTAAATCGATGGTTACTT